CTTTTATTTTTTAACCTGAAAAACGTAAAGTCCCAGGCAAAGCCAAAAGCCAGTTTTGACTACATATATTTCGATGGGCTAAAAGCTTCAAATAATCTTCCAACATCCATAAGCAAGTCTCCCACTGAGTCTGGCAAGGATTTTTTCCCTCGCCACCAGCCAAGTCTAGCATGAATACCTTAAATCTGAATGGAGCAAGGATGCAAGAGACCCTTTGCTGGCTCTAATGCTGAGCTATGCACAGCTGTGCTGAGGGATGCAGCAGATACAGAAGAGCTTCCTGACAGATTCTCTGTTGAACTGGTGAAGCTTGAAGAGCTGTCTGCATAGCAGCCGGTACCTCACAGAAACATTGTTTAAAAGGAATCATTGTATGTTAGTAAATCATTCAGCTCGGCTGCTCAGGAGTAACACTGATGTCTCTTACGAAGGAGATGAATGCAATATTTAAGCCAGTTTACTGGGCAAGCCAACAGTCAAGGGATGGCAACCCTCAAAGCTGGAAAGGAGAACAAAACGAGAGAAGGGAACCTGCAACACTCAAATTAGATGATGATTTGACAAACATCTCTGTAAAAGTAACTATTGAAGTTGCTGAAGTGACTCAGAAATTAGTCACAACATCTGATTGTTCTTTCCAGGATGACCAGTGTCTGTCAGTGAGATTCATCACAGCAAAATTCAGCTGGCTGAAATCTAGATATCTGCTATAAGCCAAGTACAACCCTCTGTAGCTAATGGAGGGAATGGTCATCTCCAAGGACTGATTCATCTCACCTATGTAAAGGTTTAGTGACACAATATTCATTCTTTCCCAGGAAAGACAGTGGAAGAAGCTTCTAATCATCCTCCTCCTTTTTCCCCCTCTGTATTGCCACTCTTTATTCCGACCCCAGAAGAACAACTTTATGCATCGTCCTTTGAAGCAGCATAAAATCCTTCTCTCACCTTTCCCATGGAAAGTATTGTGTTTTTTTCTTTTGTTTGTAGGAAATTCCTATCCCCAGCTTRTCACCAAAGAAAATACATTGGTTACATCTCAGATACCTGTCTCAAAATTATTTATGGGAAGTGCCTGTTTTGCTTTGTACACTAGGAAGGGAACCTAGATGAAAAGGCCAGATGGGAAGCCTGAATTTTAGGTGCTCCATGATGTGTGAGCCTAGCTGATGGGAGCACAGCAATGTTTATCACCAAGGCACTAACAGCCAGGGATTTGTGCACAGCAGCCAAGCAAAGTGACTGCCTGCTGGAAGTGAATGGCCAATAACCAAGACAAAGAGCAATGTCTATGCCTCATCTCTGACATACGGACATTATCAAAGCAGCAATTGCTATGAATATAATTCTGGAAAACTGCACACTACCTGGCTATAGATCTTCCTGGTGAGGTGTCACTTGTTGGCTTCAAGAGAACAGAAGATGAGCAGGATCCTGCTGGCTAACAAGAAGTTAGCAAGTCTGTCAATCCATCACCAGAGAACGGACAGTGAGGCAAGCATAGCGGTGAGTGTGCCCRTAGCTCCCTTCCAGCACCTTGGAGCTTCCTCGGAAAGTCCCTTGACCCAAAAGTCATGGCTGTTGTATTTAGTTGCCCTTGATGAATTTCTCTCGCATTGATTTTTCTAATAACTTTTTGAAGCAAGCTGATTTCAGTATCTATAGATGCTGCAGTGCAGATCTGTATGCAGTGCAGATCTTAAAACAGACATTATTTTGGGTGTTTGTATTCTCTCAGGCACACAGACGTGGGGTGTCCTCAAGGACAGACAAGAACTGAAGTGATTTTGGAGAATCGAACTTTCAAATTATCATGTTTGGGTACTTAAATCCCCCTTTCAAACACACATGCTGTTTCTGCATTTGGAGAAGCTGGCAAAATGCTTTCTTTGCTCTTTTACCAGTCAAGGCAGTTTTTGTCCTCTACTCACTCTTCAATGCTGTCCCAGCCATGACACGACAGCGTCAGGCCTCTGCAGTCCTGCATGCTTTTAGGGCAGGCTTCAGCACCAAGGCCATCTGCCCAGCATCGAGTCATCTTTTAGTTTCCTGCATAATTTGGAAAAAGAAGATTTGTTAAAAAATCACGTACTAAACATAACAGCTCCTGTATTTAGCATGTTTTGCTTGTTGTATTAGGAATTCCCCTCTCTTTGCAAAGCAACAAAAGTGAACAAAAAGAACAAGTCTTGCTAGCAGACTGAGAGAAACATATGGCCAGAAGAACTAAGAAATCATTTTATCAAAACCTGAGTAAAACAAAAGCAAATATTTATGTTGCCAAAAAGTATTCACTTACCTCCTGAATTCTGGCAAGTGCTTTGAGGAAAACAAAGAAAAATAAAATGTGATCACCATAATTACAACTCAAAGGTACCACCTATGATTGGGAAGAGACTACTGTGGCTGGTGACTCACCAGCGGTGCCCCCGCGCCGCCTCCTTCCCACGTGGCTTGTGTGTCAGCSCGTCCTTCCCGCGGCGCCACCTCCCCAGTGGGAGCCGAGGGCTGAGAGCTGCCCCGCTGGGCGCAGAGCCCCTTGAGCCGCTCGGCTGCGGAAGGCGCACGGAGGTGGTTGTTTGCTCCTGTGCAGGAATAACTCCAGGCATCAGGACAGAATAGGGGTTGGCCTGCTGGAGAGCAGCTCCGCAGAGAGGGACCTGGGAGTCCTGGTTGACACCAAGTTAACCATGAGTGAGCAGTGTGCCCTCGTGGCCAAGAAGGCCAATGGGATCCTGGCTGCATGAGGAGGAGTGTTGCCAGAAGGTCAAGGGAGGGGATCCTGCCCCTCTACTCAGCTCTGGTGAGGCTGCACCAGGAGGATTGGGTGCAGTTCTGGGCTCCCCAGGACGAGAGGGATGTGGAGCTTCTAGAGAGGATCCAACGGAGAGCAACAAAGATGAYTGAGGGACKGGAGCATCTCTCATATGAGGAGAGACTGAGAGAGTTGGACCTGTTTTCTCTGGWGAAGAAAAGGCTGAGAAGGGATCTGATTAAGATGTGTAAGTTTATGAAGGGGGAATGTAGGGAGGATGGGTTCCAAGCTCTTCTCATTGGTGGACAGTGAAAAGACAAGGGGCAATGGGTGTAAGTTGCAACACAGGCAGTTTCATCTCCATGTGAGGAGGAACTTCTTCACTGTGAGGGTGCCAGAGCCCTGGCACAGGCTGCCCAGGGAGGCTGTGGAGTCTCCTTCTCTGGAGATCTTCCMAACCCGCCTGGATGCCGCCCTGTGCCCCGTGCTCTGGGTGTCCCTGCTGGATCAGGGGGTTGGACTGGATGATCTCTAGAGGTCCATTACAACCTCAACCGTTCTGGGATTCCGTGATTCTGTACTTACTGAGATTTTAAAAATTCCTCCATTCTTTAGCAAATCCACTTCTCAAATTTCAGAATTCTAAAAAAAAAAAATTCTCATCCCACCCTTCCTAATTTTTTTGTTCAGACTAGACAGATGTTTGCCATCATTAGAACTATCACTGAACTAGAATTGTGGTCTCCAGACRCTCCCCAGTGACAGCTGAGCTGCACAGTGAAGCTTTAACCTATGTTAGCAACAAAATAARTTATTTCTCCAGCATACACATAGCTTCATAAAAAAGAATAATCCCACTGGAAACAGSTACTTGGGGTTTGAATCCACACACCCAAAAGGACCTCAGCTCCAGCAGCCGCCTCTGGTGGCCTGAAACCTCGTGCTCCAAAGCACAGGGCACCGCGGGGCAGCGGCTTCTTCTGCTAAGAGCAAAGGCAGTAGCTCAGGGCAGACCTGATGCCCAGSTGCTGCTGAATCTCCTCTGATTTTATAAGCACTGGTGCATTGTACTCAGAGCTGGATCTGTGACACGCTTATCAGCTCCAATATTCAGGGCACAGCTATATGAGTCCCGTTCGGCTGGGATGCTTGTCCCGTTTGCCTGGGATGCATGGCACATGCTTTCAATATGGATTTGATATTTTTTTCCCCACTCTCCTACTGATTGTTTCCTTTAATTCAATTGCAGCTGGAGAACTAAGGTATCAAAATAAATCCAGCAGCTTTCCTCCCCACTGCCAGCTGGAAATGGGAGCCCAGACCTGCAGCCCTGCCAGGCAGGACAGCCCTGAYATCTGCCCAGGAGCTGGCTCAGCTCTCCTGAGAGGCACCTTGAAGTGCAACAGCACACGCAGTTCCCGCATCACCCCGCTCCCAGATGGGACATGAAGGGCTTTTCTTTTTTCCTAAAAGGAACAAGGAGCCTGAAAGCATCCACWCAACACAAAAGCTTTGCCAGGCTCATTTCTTTTTTAAGAAGAGGCCCCTGTGCAGGTCCCTATCATCAAAAAGAGCTCCTATAAGCATCTCTTATTTTTAAGCCTTAGACTTGCTAAAAGTCACGTGTGTGAAGTTATGCCTATGCTTAGCTGTTTCCACCAGTTCAGAAGGATACAGGAAAGTAGCTTGTTTACATCTTCCTCCTAGATCTGATACACAAAGATTCATTTTCAATTATTTTATGATTTGTTAAAAAAAAAAAAAAAGTGAATGGATTTGTCAGATGTCAGTAAAATTTCCTCTCTGACTATGCACCTTTTTTCTTATTTTTAAGCCTTAGACTTGCTAAAAGTCA